CTTTCTTAGTTATTTGTTGAATGTGGGTGCTGAAGTTGAGTCTCTTGTCTAGGAATAGGCCAAGAAACTTGCCATCACTTTTATTACTGATGTTAATGTTGTCTATCTGTAGCTGAATTGCATTTGATGATTTGCTTCCAAATAAGATGTAGTAAGTCTTTTCTATGTTTAATGTTAGTTTGTTAGTTGACATCCATAAGTGGACTTTTTTAATTCATTATTCACAACATTATTTAGGTTGAGGTCTGAATAGATAAGGGTAGTATCGTCAGCAAACAATATAGGTTTAAGAATATTAGAGACATTAGGCAGCTCGTTTATATATATAAGAAATAGAAGAGGTCCTAAGATACTGCCCTGTGGCACTCCAACGGTAATTGGTAGAGTGGAAGAAGTTGTATCATTGATGGTTACATATTGGTGTCTGTCACTAAGATAGGATCGGATGTAGTCAAGGGCAAGGCCTCGGATTCCATAATGCTGGAGTTTAAGTAAGAGGTAGTTGTGATTAACAGTATCAAAGGCTTTTCTTAGGTCAATGAAGAGTCCAATCGGAAACTCATTTTTGTTAAGGGCTGAGTAGATTACGTCAAGGAGACTAATGATTGCATCGTTGGTGCTCTTTTGGGACCGGAAGCCAAACTGGCAGGGGCTGAGTATGTCGAATTTTACGAGGTAGGAATAGAGCTGTTTGTAAATAATTTTTTCAAATATTTTTGATAGAATGGGTAGATTTGATATTGATCTATAATTGTTTATGTCCGCCGGATTGCCTCCTTTATGGACTGGCGTTACTCTTGCATTTTTAAGGATATCAGGGAAGGTGTGACACTATAGATTTGTTGAACAGTAGGGCTATGGGTGGGGCAAGGGCATGGGAGGCGCTCTTGTATACAATGGACGGAATTTCACTGGTGTTCCATGCCTTGGTTTTTAGAGAGTGTATGATGGACACAACATCTGCCGGGCTGATTGGTGAAAGGAGAAGAGAGTTTGGATAGCTGCCTGAGAGATATGTGTTAATATGTGTCTGAGTCTGTGGGATTTTACTGGCAAGATTAGAACCAACCGATGAAAAGAAACTATTAAATTCATTTGCCATTTCTAAATCAGTTAACGGTATATCCCCATCCTTGTAGAGTTTATATGGTTATGTGAGTGTTGTTTAGTTCCTAGGATACTAGAGATAGTTTTCCAAGTGATTTTCATGTTGCCTTTTGCTTCATTGAATCTATTCACATAATATGCAAGTTTTGCCTTTCTTATGATACTTTTTTTTACATGCAAAGCATGCAATTTAAATACAATAAAAACAATGCAGAATATATAACAAAGAAAAACAATAGACCACCGGCCAGAAGGGCCGACAGCATAGCACAACAAAACACATACACGAGAAAAACATAGAAAAATACAGCATACATCAAAAACACAAAACATAATACAATGGCAAACTAGCAATCACAGTAACATCCAGAGACTTAGCAGGAAACAGAACAGGACAATCACAATACATTCCAAACAAAACATAAAGAACAAACACGTACAACAGGCAAAGCAATATAAAAACACCAGGCCAAATGCACAGCACAAACAATACAGGAATAAAAAAAAAAACACACACCAAGCCATCCGCCCCGTAAACAAAGGGCGAGGCCAAAATAAACAATAATAAGAAACAAGCAAAACACGCACACCCGAAAACAAAACAGGCACAAACACAACAACATACATGCACTGGCCTGAAGGACCGATAAGAAAACAACAAAGCACATCAAGAAACATAACAAGACACTGTAGCACTAAACATATCAATACAAATTCATACAAAGACACGAAACACCGGCCTGAAGGGCCGACAACAAAAACAGAAACATAATGAAACACAAGAAAAAGACACAATACAATACAACAAAACAACGGTCATGAGAACAAACATAACACAGGCCTGAAGGGCACACAATAGGTACAACACATTGCAAACAAACCACAGGTCCAAGCACACACCAAACACACAGCAAGCACACAGACTACTAAAATTTCTCATATTTTTCCGGCCACTCCGCCGCCGGGAATCGAATGCAATACGCCTCCCAAAGTAACATAATGTCCTCCGAAACAGGGTCATTACGAACCGTACGAGGATCAGGCATTAACTCCGGCACACCCACAATAAAACATCGAGCCCGTCGAATCCAGATGGAAGAAGGGCACCACGGAACAGGACGCACACGGTCATCAATGTCAAACCGCAAAGGATGTTCAGCATCATTCGCCACTCCGGAGGCCAAGACGAGGGGGAGAGGCTCCTTCCCATGAGGCCGGGCAATGGGCAGCGCACTGGGAGCCTCCTCGGCTGCCTCACAGGGCCCCGCGTCAATCACCGAACGTTGTACCTGCTGGGACCCCCCACGCTTGGCATCCTTCTTCAGAACCAGCTTGATGCCTCGGCTCGCACCAGAACCCACACCACCCACGTCTGTAGGAGCAACCACCTCCCACTGCGTAGAACCTTCTGCAGGAGAAAGAACAGGCGGTAAATCAGACGCACAACCATCGTCAACAGCAGACACATGGACGTCAGCCACCACCAGCGACGTAGAGCGCGAAGCACCCGGAATCGCCACATCATCTCCCGAAGCTCCACCTGTGTCGTAGTCCTCCACATCAGCCCAAGCAGTAGAAGAATGCCTGGAACGCTTGGGCACTGGCCGCACATCCTCACAGCCGGAGGCGGACCCAGAACCACGGGCCTCACGAACCGGGCGAACCAACGCCCGTCGCAGTATGGCAGCAGCCTCAACCACATGGGGAACCGGGCCGCACACAACAGGACGCTCCGCAGCCCCCCCCCCCCCAACACCCAGCACAGCCGTAACACCTGGCGAGGGTGCAGGACCAGGCACGGCAGCAGGAGTCGAGGAAGACGCAGACGACCCGCAGAGACCATCCGGAAGACCCTCGGGAGCAACTGGCACAGCGAAGTGACCAGCAACAGGAGCCACCGGAACACTCGGCGGAGGGACATCAACCACCGGGGGCATGTCGGGTGACGCAGGGGGGGCCGCATCAGCAGTGAATGGGACCTGCCCCTCTTCATCTCCGGAATCCACGCCCTGAGGGAGCGGCGGGAAATCCTCTTCCCGAAATAAGTTAACAGGTGCAGCAGGGGCCTCAGAGCACCCGGCAGCCAGATGCCCTAACTGGCCACACCGGAAACAAGTACGGGGCTGCCGGGCATAATACACCCAAACGTAGTAACCCAGCAGCCGGACAGAAGATGGGATATCCGACCGCAGGCGCATACCTAAGGTACGGACGTTCGGCTGCTTCCCAGCATACTTTCCCGAGGAAAGCGTGTTCACCCGCACACTGATGACAGCACCATACCTCCCGAAGAAGCGCCGGAGAAGGTCTTCAGGGAACTCCAGGGGCGCACCGTGCACACTGTCATATGTCAGGGCACCACTTCAGTCCAAGACCGTAACGGAGCCGGCGCCATCCGGCAACTGCAATGAACGCCCTTCGTTCCGCCGGAGGAAGTCCCGATACTCCTCCTCCCGCACGAACTTGACAATCACCCGGTGGGCCGTAACAAGCTCAACTCCGTATACAGCCTCCACCGGGATACAAAGCATGTCGCACATCACCAACTCAATGGCCGGATAACCAGCCTTGCACGAGAATTCTAGTCCCACGGAATTCACCCGCAAAACAGGAGGAATTGCAAGGCCCCCCAATGTCAAAACGACCACGTCAGCACACAGCCAGGCAGGCAACAACACTGGGAGGGCAGTGACGCCCCACCACCTGGCGACCAAACGGCAAACAACTCCAACAGCCACGGAGGGTCGGTAAACGTCCTCACTCCACGGCCGCTAGCAGTCGACTCCTCATTCTTATGAAACTGGTAAGCATTAATGAGTACCTTTTAGCTACTTCCTTTGAAACTAGGCCAATCCTAAGTTTCTTTTCATATTCATGTTTCTTGTTGATTGAGTTGAGAATGGCACTTGTGAGCCATGGATTGTTTAATCTTTTGTCAGTTACTTGCTTGGTAAGAAGGGGACAATGAAGGTTGTAGAGGCTTAGAGTTTTGGAGAAGAAGAGGTTAGCTAATGAATTTATATCCTGGGTATTATTGAATTCAGAATCCCAGTTAATATTGTGAAGTGCTTCTGTAAGATTGCCTAAAGCTGATTCACTGTGTAGCCTAAATGAAAGTTTCTTGTTTTTTGGTGGTGTTATGTCCATGTTCGCTATGAGAAAGGTAGGATAGTGGTCAGTTGTTCTGTCGTAGATTATACCAGATACAAGGGGAGCTGTTATGTTTGTCCATACGTGGTCCAAGGTAGTGGCTGATGTTTGAGTGACTCGGGTAGGTTTGGTGATTGTGGGGATTAGCATACAGGAGTTGCTAACTCATTAGTATACTTGGTCTGAGGACGGGTTGCAACAGTCAGGGATGTTCTTTAAACCTTACCTGGCACCAGACAAGGCAGAGACGTAAAGTTACATTAGTATTCCTCAGACTGATGGGCAGGATGTCTTGATAGGCCGGAGGTACCAAGTGATCCCTTGAAGACTTCCTGACAGTCTTATTCACTTCATGGTGGTAGTGGTCAAAGAATAAATAATATTTAAAAAAAATATTTCATAATTTGCATATCTTTCGTGGAACTATTTTGTTAGGTAGAGCGACGGTCTCGCTTCCTGCAGGTCGGTGTTCAATCCCCGACCGTCCAATAGGCTGGGCTCCATAAATTCCCCCTCCCCTCGGTTTCATCCCTTCCCAGTGCTATATAGTCATAATGGCTTGGTGCCTTCCCATGATAATTCCCTCCCCTCCCGTCCCCTCCCCTTCACCTTGTCATAGCAGCTCACAAGTCGACCATAGACCCCTGAACTGATGAAGGTAGAATCAGAAGTTATCTTGAGAGCAACTGCGGTCATTTTACCAAACAATAACAAACGTTTTCAGGGATGTATTTATCACTAACTTGGTGAACGAAGACGGTGGCGCCGACCATAAATGGGATGTAGAGACTGCTCCAAGCTGACTTAGCCCAGCCAGGGTCCGATATATTCCACAAAACATCGTCTTCAGTCAGGTCAAGCCAAAATCTGTTGGAGGAATTTACATATTAAACAACATATATATACGGCCCATCTGAACTAGTCAGCCATAAGACTAGCATCAGGAGACTATTAGCTTCGGGTGGAGACTTTGCTCTGGGAGAGGGTGGGAGACTCAGTGGGAGGCTGGATGAATCTCTGGGAGGTTGGAAGAACAAAATGTAGGAGACTTAGTTCCGCAGACGACTTATATAAACTCTGTGGAGGACTGGTCGATTCTGGGAGGTTTGAAGATGTTCTGTGGAAGGCTGGAGACGCTCTGTGGGAGATTGATACAAGATCTATGGGAGGATGGATGAAGCTCTGTGGGAGACTAAACGCTCTGGGGAACTGTAAACTCTGTGAAAAATTAACATGAACTCTGAGAGAGACTGTATGTTCTGCGAGAGACTACTAGTCAATGCCGATGACTTTTCAAGTCAGGCAATATTGTATGAGGTTATGGTTATTCAAACATTTAAAATAAGGACATTAAAGACTCAAATTCTCTGCAACTTTGATCAACGAGAGAACCATATATAGTCGTGTCAGAAAACCTGACACCATTTACTAATATTAAATACAATAGACAGATAATAGTGTTGCTGTTGTATGTACAAATTAACCCATAGAAAATTTAGCTTGTAGTGGAATTTTCCGTCAATAGAAAACGGGATATCATTGCCACAGAGTGCTATAAATTCACCAGCTATTCTGTTGGGAATTATAGTTAATGTCTTTGGACATATAACATCATAAAAACATCTCATTTGAATTAACTTAATTATCAGTATCAAAATAGAGTAAATGTGACCCTTCTATCACTTATTGACATCTGGACAAGGAGAGCCAGGCATCAGTGGTGAGGGAGGTCAGGCATAGTTTAAGACCGAGTGGTTGGAGCAAATTCAGCACCTATTCTCTCTTGGACGAAGTGTTGTGGAGATCAAGTATTAGTGCTTCTACCATCATCAAATCACTGTCAACAACCATAAGGGAAGTGTCTTTCCGAAATCTTATCTAAGTCATTATTGGCCAGTAATGTTAGGTAGATATGATTAATTCCGGTTAGGACACAAACGAACGACTCGACCCAGATAATTAAGCCTTGGTCCTTATCTAATAATATATAAATGCTTCATCTGATATTGCTGTCATATATTAGGATTCCGGCTTACAGCTAGTGCCCTTTGACTGGAACAAGAGGAAGTAAGAATTAATCTTGGTACATCAGTTACTAGGGTGTTAGAAGCTAGCCTCACACGAGGACTATTTGGTGTCTACATCCTAGTTATACCTGGTGGACTAAGCCTGCTGTACATTAAGATAAAGCCTCATCATTTATTTACTAATATATGTAGTTTGATACTGTAGTTTGATTGGCTGCATATATATAAATTTAATATAAACCCCCCTAATGTGTAAGGATCGACTTGTGAGAATATTGCAGAAATACAGTCCACTAAACATCATACAAATTGCTATCGAAATATATATTAACATATATATAAATTCTATATAAATTCATATAAATTAAATAAATATAAATCTCACAGGTCGGTTCGTACAAGTCGAGCAGCCCCAGAGAAGACGACCAGGGCTCGAGGCGGATACAACTGTTCTCTTCACGAAATGTTTCTTTGATGCTTTTGGAGGTGCCGAGGTGAAGGATATAAGCTCTTTCAAAACGTTCAAACTTGCTTGAATGAGGTACACACTTCCAGATAAAGTGTATACTTTATCTGAACTTTATCTAACGTATAGCATGTGTCTCCGGAGAGACACATGCTACACGAGGGGACTGGCTAGTGACCTCAGGGAATACGATATACTTGACTACTACAAACACTCTCGACAGTGTATTAGGTCTCCTCCCTGGAAAGTGCACAAGGGAGAAGTGGAAATTGTAACCCCTCAAGGCGAAAAAGATTCAGCATTATCCAGGACAATTACGGTGTTTGTATGGAAGCATGATATCTGGGTTACCAAGAGGTAATAGTTTACATGTATATTGTGACGGGTCGGTGGTGGGAGATGTCAGGGCCGGTGTCGTGTCCTGGTGAGGGAATACACTGAGTTTGGAACTCCCAGGAAACAATTTTAGGTTGCCACAACGTATCTGGAAAGTGTTGGAAAGTATGGGCAACGTTTGTTTTCACGCATTAGATGCGTAATTTTGTGTGGATGTAAATAAGTTTCTAAAACGTATTGCACGAAACGTTGGCTAAAAAAAAATTGAAACCTTGTGGCAACCTTAAATGTTTCATAATCGCAGTTTTTTTTTGTTGTTATTTATATAAATGTAGAAATATAAAAGTATATTTCAACATTTAGTAAAAAGAAGCAAGATCATAATAAAGGTTAATTCATCATGTTTATTTATTGTTTTAGGAAGAGGTCGAGGAGGAGGGAGGAAGAATTCCAGGTAAGAGGATGAAGTCGAGTAGGAAGGAGGAGGAGATCGAGGAGGAAGGACACCATTTGGTCACCATTTGGTCCGGGAGACATCTCCCGTCACGCAGGGTGTTGTCGCACCACCACAGATCTCCAGTATCATCTATTGATGCTTGTGATGGCTCAAAAGGGCTACCACTTACGAGCTACTCATGCCCATGCCACCTTTTGGGTGGCTTCATGTTCATCTTAACACATTCACGTGGGAGACATCTCCCGTCACGCAGGGTACAGTCGCACCTCCACAGATCTCCAGTATCATCTATTGATACTGGTGATGGCTCAAAAGGGGCCACCATGTACGGGCTATTCATTCCCGTGCCACCTTTTGGGTGGCTTCATCTTCATCTTAATACATTCACAAGGGAGGCATCTCCCGTCACGCAGGGTGCATTCCCACCTCCACTGATCTCCAGTATCAGCTCTTGATACTGGTAATGGCTCAAAAGGGCCACCACTTACGGGCTATTCATGCCCGTGTCACCTTTTGGGTGGCTTAATCTTCATCAATCATCAATCAATCAGGAGGAAGGAGGAGGGCGAGGAGGAAAAGGAGGGCGAAGAGGGAGGAAGAGGAGGAAGGAGGAGTAGGGCGAGGAGGAAGGAGGAGGAGGAGGGCGAGTAGGAAGGAGGAGGAGGAGGGCGAGGAGGAAGGAGGAGGAGGAGGACGAGGAGGAAGAAGTGTTGTAATCCACAAGTTAGTAGGGATTATTAGCTAGAGGATCATTACTACAACACTTAACGAATGATGATTGGAAGTACATGTTAAGTAGACTATGGATCACATATCTAAGAAAGGTCAATGGATTAAGACCGAAGCTGCTAAACCAAATTAATAATTCCTGAAAAGAGGACTCAGGCTTCTAGGATCAAGGTTAACGCTCTAGGGATAAGGTTAATCGGATTATACCTTCCTTGAGAGGCGTGGTGAAATGGTTGAGGCCATGGCTGGCTGAAGACAGTCTTGTTGTGAGAGTGGAACTGGCAAGTCCTCCGAGGTCTCCGTTTGTGGCAGCAGCGAAGTGTAGCAGACAGCTATGCGAGAGCCTGATGTGATCTTAGTGACCAAGTTAAGTCTGCAGTATGTGAGTATTGAATGAAAGACTAACCGGGTGTGGAGCGTTGTAGTAATCATTCCGTATTAGGGACTTAGGCGGAAGTTACGAGTGCAAGTGGTGACCGCGGAGGTCAAGTGGTCTATGGGTATTGGAAGTGTATTTACCTAATATAGTCAGAGTCTATTCTTTGTAATTAAATGACAAAACCCGACGGCCTTTAAAGACCTTACATCTGTCCCCTCATAGTGTTCCTGGTTTGGTTGGTGAGGGAATGTTAGGGAATTGGTACAAGACATATTTGGTGGCAGCGCAAACAGGTTTTGGAACACATTGAGATATGAAGGAAGTGTGTTAATGGTTTAGTTGGTGAGGGAATGTTCGGGAAATGGTAGACGTCGGGTTGTGTTGAGAACGGTAGTTACTAGACGGAGGAAAGAAGGGTCAGGTGAGACCAGGTCAGAGGAGTTAGGTAATTAAAGGGACTAGACCATTGTGGGGCACATGTGGGGTTTATGTCTTTCTTTCCAGATTCCTGCAACGAGAGACGACTAAGATGCAAGTCTGGACCACTGAATCATGGGGAGGCAAAACAAGTGCAGTGTTCGTATTGCGGATTATACAGAGTGGCGAGGGAAACTAGCGCGGGAGAATGTGGGCCAGCGTGGGCCATGTGCGGGCCAAGCGATGGGTGGGCCAAGCGAGGTGCACCTTGGAGCTTGTTATATATCGTCGGTATGGTGGTAATAGTGAGAAACCGTTGCTCAGGACAAATCAAACGTGAAAACTACGTAATTTGAAGTTAATTAAATTTCATGTAAAGCGTAAATCGAATATTTTAAGGATAATGAAATATTACCTAAAGTACAGCACGAGTTCCTGCATTGTCAGACTTAGATACAGAAAATAGGCGCAGTGAATTATGGACGCCTGGGCAAAGCGAGCGATGCGTAATTTGCCATCTGGGGTTCGACATCTAGTGTACCGTGGAGAGGTCCATGGAGATTTTTTTTAGGTCAGGTAGCATTACGGAGATGTTACCGTGGGACACGGGGAGCGTGTCCCGTTGGTGGGGGGGTGTGTGGCGTCGAGAGGTGGCGACGCAGTGTGTATTGGCGTTTGGACGCCGAGTTGATACCTGGTTGATGGGGTTCTGGGAGTTTTTCTACTCCCCAAGCCCGGCCCGAGGCCAGGCTCGACTTGTGAGAGTTTGGTCCACCAGGCTGTTGCTTGGAGCGGCCCGCAGGCCCACATACCCACCACAGCCCGGTTGGTCCGGCACTCCTTGGAGGAATAAATCTAGTTTCCTCTTGAAAATGTCCACGGTTGTTCCGGCAATATTTCTTATGCTTGCTGGGAGGACGTAGGGCATGGTTGTGTATTGGCGTTTGTACGCCGGGTTGTGTAGTGTAATGCACGTGTAGTGGCTTATTAAACGCCAGCGTAATGCATAGTATTTACTGTAGTGAATTGTGCATGTTTTGACTGTTGATATTATGG